CCCAAAACCCAAAACGCTAAGTCTTTAACCTGAAGCCCTAAATCCTAAACCCTAAATCCTAAACCCAACACCCTAAATCCTAAACCCTAAAACCGAAACCCTATACCCTAAACCGTAAATCCTAGACCCTAAACCTTAAACCCTAAGCCCTAAACCGGGATTCAGGCAGTTTATGTTGCGCGTGGCCGGCGAGGCCCGACGCGGCAGCCTAGCAGGATGAATGGTCATTAGGGCTCCTTAGGCCTTTTTCATAAATGGGTTTAGGGTTGAGGGGTTTAGGGTTAAGGGTTTAGGAGAACCCCTAAAGTACGTCATGTATTGGCCTTTTGGGTTATTTTTGAGGGTTTTGGGATATTATTTGACCGATTTTGGGGGTCCAGTGATGGGGGGGGTAACTTATGCGGGGTCATCTCAAGGATCCATTGGTGGTCATGGTCTATAAGGTTTAGGGGCGTTTGAATGACCTTGGGGGACCTCACATCGCCTGATGGTTTGTGGCGCTGTTTGAGGTTCTGGAAGTATTGAAGCTAGCCAGGGTGTCAGGGCGGGTCAGGCGACGGTTCCGGGTTTAAATTTGAGGGCTGGGGTGTATGAAGAATTTTCACTGGGCTCTCCGCTGGTTAGCAAAGTTGCACAGAGGGGGACTCCTGGCTGCAACACGGGTTGCAAGCATGCAGTAACATTATCATGGGTTCCCGTACCACCACGCCCCCTCTACTACGCTCTCCCAGGCTCCTTACTTTGGGCTATTTCGGCCTAATTAAAGTTAATCAAGGCAAATTAAAGTGGGAACCTTAGGGAGGGTAATTAAGCCGCAAACTAAGGAGCCTGGAAGACGGTAGTATAGGGGGGCTCGTAGGGGAACCCATGAAATTGAACTCAAGCACCATCAGCGCATCCGCAGAGCTTTCTCACCGCTGCCAGCAGCCAGCGGCGGCAACACAATCATCCGAGCATACAGTTGATACCTATAGTCCCCTTAAGTAGATAGAATGTGGGGTATTGGGGCAGTCCTGTTATAATACACTCAAAGCCATACTTAACGGGGACTGTAAACTGCTGCTTGCCCCGAAGTACCTTACATTTGGGGAACCAGGGTTTGGGTTCAGGGTGGTAGACAGAGTTGATGTTGGATTCTTAGTAGCAGCGGGGCAGGTACAAACCCACATATAACCCCAATTTCCATTTCATGTTCCATGTTGTTGTCCATTTGATCCTCCACGTTTGGCAATGACGACTTGTAGCTTTCTGAGGTTTGGTAGAACTCTTCATGTCAACAGTATCCCTTCTTAAACCTGAAAGGGAGACCGAGCAGCCAGGTTTAGGTTTCTAGTGTCAAGAGTACCTCCACTGCCGCACTGCCCAAACCCTGCCCAACTCTACTGATGCGACCAACACCACTGTCATCAGTGAAAGCAGCATCTGCAGCATCATGACAACTACTAAGAGGAGCTTGATAATCCCAACCCTTAACAATGGAGAATCAGATGGCAAGTCACATGAGCTATAGTATAAGCTCCTTGAAATGGGGGGATACTAGGAGTTTAGACTATGGCTCACATGGACAATGGAATGGAAACTTGGGTTTAAAGTAGTCATTAAACTCCTTGGGACTAAGCTTGGACCTTAGGCCGTTAACCCTTTGGGATTCCCTTATACTCCTATTATAGGTACCTATTACTAAAGGGTGACCCTTAGTAGGGGTCCTAAGTGCCAGGAAAAAAACTAGATGGAAAACGCCAACCGATATAACAAGGATATTGTAAGAGTCATGTGATTATCATGGAGTCCGTGTTTTTGTTGCCGTTGCGGTAGCCCTCATGATTGGTTCATAGAACTGAACTCCCTGCCCTCTTCGCCCTAAACCTTTTCCCCCCTAGACCCTCAACTTTAAACCCTAGGCCCTAAGCCCTAAACCCCTAAACCCTAAACCTTAAATCCCTAAATCCTAAACCCTAAACCCTAAGCCCTAAACCCAAACTCAGAGCCCCACAACCAAGGCGGTCGCCTCCATCAGATGAGCGCTTATCACCTTGCCAGTGTGGTTTGGGCACTGGCAAAGGCCCCGCATGGGGTTTAGGGTTTAGGGTTAAGGGTTTAGGGTTCAGGGTCAAGGGTTTAGAGCTCAGGGTTTAGTGCCGTGCATGGTTTTTGGTGGTTTAGGGCTGCGCGGCGTCATCGTCGAATATGGCTTGCATAGGTGCATTTAAGAAGCGCAAGAAAGACTTTTGGGGCTAGACATTAGGTACGAAAGCCGCAGGACGATACGTGCCCCATTTCAAGCTTTAGGGGTCCAAGTACCGAAGTACTGGGGCAGGCCAGATTTGTTTTGATGATTGCATTTGCTGCCTGTAGCTCCAGAGCACCTGGCCCTTGAACATGCAAATGCCTTGAAGTCCCTATTATTTTAGCCATAGTCTAAACTCCTTAAAGGGGGTTATATAGGGGATTGTATAGGGGACTACTACAGGGTCTATTAAGGGGGATACTAGGAGTTTAGACTATAATCCCTATAATCCCCTACATAACCCTATATAATACCAGTTTCCATTTCATTTTCCATTTTCTTTTCCATTTGATTCTCCATTATTAAGGGGGATACTAGGAGTTTAGACGAAAACCCCTATAATCCCCTATTATTTGAGTATGGGGACTCCCAGGACATCATTCAACAGATGTCAAGCCCTAGACTTTAAACATGCCTAAGCCCTAGAACCCTGAACTAAGGCCCCCTAGACCCCGCAACCCTCCTCTACAAGTTCTGTAGCCCAAAGCTGTAGGACCCTAAACGTTTGGCCCCATATATACCCTAATTATAAACCACAACCCAAAACGTTTAACCCTAAAACCTTAACCCTAAACCGCTTAAAAGCAGGCCTTCACGCCTGATGGCCTGGCGCTGAACAAGGCCGGACCTGCCGACCCCAGGGCCACGCGTTTTAGGGCTTAGGGTTTAGGGTTCAGGGTTTAGGGTTTAGGGTTCAGGGTTTAGGGTTTAGGGTAATGAAGCCTTCCACTTGGGACAAAGTGACCCCTTTCAGGATGCGCAGATTCCAGAGCCAGTTCTCTTAGCGCTTTCCCTGGCAGCCCAGCGTGTTTGTGCCTTGGCTGAGCTCCACGGCTCCCTCAGCCTTGTTGTTGGGCTTAGGGTTAAATATTGGGATAATGGAAAAGAAAATGGAAACCCTAGGTCCCCTTAAAGGGGTATATAGGGTTATACAGGGGACTATAATGGGGTTATATTGGGATAATGGAAAAGAGAATGGAAACTACTATTTAGGGTTTAGGGTTAAGGGTTGGTGTCATGGCTTCCCCTACTACCCCCCTTCCACACTACCCCGCCTAGGTTCCCCCCCGTAATTACAGTTATTTAAGGATAATTCGGCTTAAAAGATGTTAATTAAGGGGGAACCTAGGAGGTGTGTAGTAGGGCAGGGGGTTATAGGGGAATATATGAATTAAGGGTTTATGGCGTACCCTCGGGCCCTGGGGCTCCCAATAACCCAAAGTAGGTAACATTTGGAGAGCCAGAAGCATTTTTTTTGTTGTAGCGCAGGGCTTCAAGACAGGCGGGGGAATATCTCTAAATCCTGAACCCTAAACCCTAAACCCAAAATGCTAAACCCTAAATCCTAAACCCTAAATCCTAAACCCTAAAGCATAAACCCCAGACACCCCCTAATTTTTGGGCTTTCTTGAGGTCGACCTTCCTGCGGCGCATCCTCGGCGCCCTAGGCACCGAGGTGAAGCCAGGGCGGGCGCCTCGGAGCCTCCAAGGTTGACAGGCTTAGGGTTTAGGGTTTAGGATTTAGGGTTTAGGGTTTAGGGTTTAGGATGTAGGGTTTAGGATTTAGGATTTAGGTTAAGGGCTTAGGGTTTAGGGGTTTCGGGTTTTTAGAGTTTTGGGCTTAGGGCTTTTTTAGGGTTGAGGATTAAAGGTTTAGGGTTTAGGGCCGAGGCTCTAGGAGTCAATTAATTTTGGGTGGTGTTAAACGTAGGGGCTTTCGCTTTAGGGCTTTCTTTGGGAGGTATGGACTTTGGTGTATGGTTTAGGGTTTTTCTGGGTTCAGATCTTGGGCATAATAGAGGGCGGCTGGGCTTTGGGGGATATGGGGCCCAGGCCTTTTTGGGTTTAGGGTTTGGGGATTTGGGGTGAGCAGCCGCAGGACGAGCGTATAGGGATTGGAGTTTGAGGTTCAGGGTGTGTGTGACTAAGGTCAGGGTCCAGGATGTAATTAGGTTTAGGCGGCAGGGCACAGATTCGATTAGATTAGAGTTTCTGTGCCACTGGGTGCGTTCTCATGTAGAGTATAATTTGCAATCAAATTTCAAGGGGGTGTAGGAGGTTGAAAGAAATAGCTTGTCATGGGCAGGCACGTGCTCCGACTTGCTCGCTTAATCCCTGAGCCCTGAACCCAAACCCCTAACATGTTTAGCGAGACGGCAAGCCACATCCTTGTGTACAAACAATGGCCGACGTTGCAGCCATCATCGTAAGTATCAAGCACCCAGGATCTTCAGAATCCGGTAGTTTTGAGGAATCTTTGCATCACATGATCTTTAGTCTAACCTCCTCCTTAAAGGGGGCTTTATATGAGGGATTATATAGGGAACTACTATAGGGATAGGGGTTATTAAGGGGGATACTAGGAGTTTAGACTCTGGCTGACATTCTGTCGGTTATCTACAGTTCTCACGTGTATAGACGGCCACGTGCAAAAAGAGCTTTGAGGCGGAGGTTCGCCGTGTAAGCCCCAAACCCTCCACTGTGCAGAGCCTACACCTTTGGAGTTAAAACATAGGAATATCATTCATCATATGGGTTGTTCTCAAAATTTTGAGCTCCTTTCTTTTTTTTGGGAACTACCCATATCATGTAGGTTCGCTTCGTGTGTATTCCTCTTTTGAGCAGCTGTTGGCCCCAAACCCTAAACCGCAAACAAAAGACGCGTTTCGGACCCTGCCTTCCGGCCCATGCCAGGCACACAGCCATCGGAGACATGATGACTGCTGGGGGCTGAGTATCATATACGGATAACGGAAAACAAAATGGAAACTACAGGGATTATAGGGTTTAGGTTTATGGTTAATATCAGGGTTATGTTGCGGTTATGTAGGGATGATGAAAAAAGTAAACTACTATTTAGGGTATGGGGCTTGGGGAGCATAAGTGAAGATAGGTCATGATGAAAGCTCTGGTGCTCAGGGACCTGGAAGATTATGTATACCTGAACCTCACTGACCCTAAACCCTAAACCTCATTGACCCCAAACCCGAATAACATCTAAATCGTAAAACACCAAGCGCCGTCTTCAGTCTGCAATTCAGCCTCGCGAAGAATAGCGAGCTCCCGTAACCTAGCCTGCAATTGCTAATGGGATAGTTCCCCAAATTAGGGTCCCATTTTGGTACCCCTAAATACTAATTATCGCGAGCCCTATTTCCAGCTAGTTCAACACATTCTGAAGGTTGTTGGGTGCAGTTGCCCAAAACCTCACGTTCAAGTGTGACACGGACCGAATTGTTGTCTCTTTATTGATTGGTGTAGAGGGCGGGCTCTGGATTTTCAACTAGCTGCGTCGCCACCGCACCCCCCAAACTGGCCCCACATCCCACTTCCCACACCCCACTCTCCCAACCCGCCCGGAAGCGCATGTGCACTAAACTACCTCATGTGCTTTGAACTTGGCATGTGCGCTGAGCTGCGTCATGTGCTTGGATTTGTGTTTTGTGTAGCAGCCGCCCTCCACCACCACGGAGCCACCACCACTGTGCCATGTGTTTTGGCCTGGCATGTGTTTTGACTCCATGGCGTGGTCCCCTTGCCCGTGCCACGAAGATTATCAAGTACACCGACCCTTCCCCTACCCGCCCGCATCACGCAGATCCTCGTTTGCCAACTCTTTCCCACCCGCCCGCGCCACGGAGATCACTCAAGTTAAGGCCAAACCTAAACCCGCAATCATGAAATTGAAGCCAACAAACCCAACTGGTTTGCTGCGTTTGCAGTGTGCTGCTTCTAGCGCAGCAGCTGCGCAATGTGTATTGTGCGTCATGTGCTTTGCTGTGTCATCATGTGGTTTGCAGTTGCCAACAGCTACAGTAGGGCTAGGGTTGGCGCCTTGAACTGGCTTGCAGGTGTCTATAGTGTAACCCTCACGTGCTTTGCGCGCGCCCCAGGCCATTCAGTGGCCGCACCACGCGCCCAAACTCCAAAAGCCTTCCATAAACCACCCCCCAACTATACATGTGCACAAGCCACGTTAGAATTTGGATACGGAGGTTCGGGATTGATGACGTCAGTGAATGTAACAGCCAAAACAGCAATGCCTTTTCTTTCAGGCTTGGGCAGTAAATAAGCCCAATGCATGCACATGCTGGACGTTTGTTTTTCGAGGATTTCCCCTCTCCACGACAGGTCCCAGGACTTGAAAAACAACATTTCCAACACGCATACTGCGTCACCCCCGTGCCGAGGGCGTAGTCTGGCAAATCAAAATAGCAAGACTTGAACTACCGCCAGTACAGTCCTCTCGTAGGCTCATGGAATAAAAGCATCAGACCTCTGCTTTTTAAGCCCGACAATGCTTTGGGAAATCTCTCATCTGAACATGTCCAAAAATGGGTCTCCCTTTTTAAAAGGTGGTTCGTATGTAGAGTATTGGGGAGTTTATTCGGAGAGCCAACATAAAAGCCGTCGCAATAATAATGACTCCGAGCGGAAGCTTAAAATCTTGGAGGATTACTTTTAAAAGAGCAAGACGAGTCACTCCCCCCGAAAGTAACCCCATAATAAATATTTCGAGCAACACTTAAGAATCCTGGAAGACTGTTAAAAAACGGCAAGATTAATCGCTTCCCCCAATTAGTAAACCCTCAAAAACATAAATGCTTGGAGCAGAGAGACCAGGAATTGGGGGTGTCGAGATCAGGATGTATGGAGCTAGGGTTAGCAAGATTCAATAGGAGTCATTGGGTCCTAAGGCTACCGTGGTGCCGTGGGAAAAAAACCCACATGCAAAATCCTCCGGGCAGGTATTTCCTTTGTGGGGCGGAGACGTCCACTATTGGGGGGAAGCAATTACTTTAAAGGGGCCAGGGAGGGAGGGACATCCGGATATTTAGTACGGTGTAAAAAGTTTCCATAGGAGTCATTGGAAAGTTCTGCGGCTACCGTAGGGCCGTGGAGAAAAAAAGTCCCAGTAGTAAATTGTTTGGGTGATTGCCAAGAAAGCAGGGCAGTGTTTGAGAGGGAGGTGATTCGTAAAAGCTTGGCAAATTTAAGCAATTCGCTGCCCGCCTGCCCTGCCTTGCCCTGCCCCCACCGGATGCATCTCTGTAGAATTTGGCAAAAACCCGGCACGTTATGGCAAAATCTGAGGTTTCGTCAACATTCAGCAGGTTTGGCAATTTGTTGGCAAAAAGTGCGCCAAAAGCTTTGGGCAGAACTCTACTTTTTGGCAGACTCTTGTGCAAAAAGTTTTGGGAAAAACTCGTCTGGCATACGCTTGGCAGTTTTTTGGCAGACATGTTGGCAGAACTGGTTTGGCAGGCGTCTGGCTGAGGTTCTGCTTTCAATAGTCTTTTCCAAATTGTTTAAAATATCTGCCATAAACAGGTCTGCCAAGCGTCCGCCAAAAGAGTTCTGCCAAAAGTTTTGCCAACAATAAATTTGGCAGGTAATCTGCCCAAAAATCATGATAACACTTACGTGTTTTTTTGGTAAAAACGCCGGGATCTTTCAAAAACAAACTTCTGCCAATCCAGTGTTGCCAAAAACTTTGCCACAATTACAGCTGGCGCACTTGTCACAGAAAAGCTACAAACCATGAAGACAGGGCGTGATTGGCCAACCAGCCCCGTTTTTAAACCCTGGAGTTTCAAAATTTGGGCCAAGTTTTTCTCAAAATATGTTTGTCTTTGTTTCCAAGGCCGCCATAAAAGGATTCCACAACTTCTGAAAGCCTCAATTTGACGGAGCTGGGCCAGGCGGGGCGGGGCCAATGGGCTGGAGCAAGAGATCCCAATCTAATTGCTGCATCAGTTCTTACGACGAATCAATGAGTTAAAGCTCGCTTATACACCCTGTAAAGCAAAAAGCTGGGAACATAAATGAGATCCGCAATTCTGATTGATTCTTTCCCATTAAAGCCTTTTGCATACTGTTCTATAGCTTTATCAGAAGCAAAACAAATATTAGCATTCCAGGAGTTATAAAGGAGATCCATGATGCTATGCAATGTTAGGAGACTCTTTCATATCAGCTCCATTACCAAAAAAACAATGAACTTCCAGGAAAAACAGGAGACCTGCAATTCTAGTTAGATCTTTGACAGATTCTTTCATTGAAGCTCCTGTATAAAAAGCCCTGTGCAAACCATAACCTGGGATACATAAAGGAGAAGCGACAGTCTAATTGGATTTGTTCGATTCCTTCATCTAAATTTCTTCATAAAACTGGGATAAGCCCATAATAATTATGAAGCAAAAGAGATCCCTACATCCGTACTTTACCTTATGACGACACCCTTGATAGCCCCGCAGCCCCTGCAACCCCTTTGTCTTGGGCTGGGTTGATTCGGCCTTTTTTCAAAGGAGTCGTGGTGTTCTTCCAAGATTTTGGGCCCACACCGGAGTTTTTAGCATCAGTTTAGCATTTTTGTTAAGGTTGTAGCATGAGAGAGAGGTGGTTAGGTTTCCAATCTGAAGATCGACATTGTCGGGGAACACCCACATGCCAGATTATTCAGTCTACGTGTCTTTTAAGGATCCCAGACACAATGTTGTTTGTTTTTTTGGTGTCTTCTGAAACTTCATCTAACAAGGTTTGTGCACATGTATACCGCCATGCAGACGCTAAGCGAAAGTTGGCGCCCGAACCCCCCACACCCGCCCAAATCCCCCTCAACCACCCAGATCACCCGCCGCGAGCTCCCCGCACCCCCGCGAGACTCCCCCAAGCCCCTAGTGCACCCCCGAAACCCCCCTGGATGCATAGGGCGCCAACTTCTGCATAACTTCCGCATAACTTCTGCATAGCTATGGCGTCTATGCAGTGCCCCTCCCGGACAACTTCTGCATATATGCGGAAGTTAGAAGACTACTTTAAAGGCAAACTTCTGCATAACTTCTGCATAGCTATGGCGTCTATGCAGTTTCCCCGTGGCGCCTATGCAGAAGTTATGCAGAAGTTATGCGGAAGTTATGCGAAAGTTGGCGCCCTAACCCTCCACATCCGCCCAAATCCCCCTCAACCACCCAGATTACCCGCCGCAAGCTCCCCGCACCCCCGCGAGACTCCCCCCAGCCCCTAGTGCACCCCCCAAACCCCCCTGGATGCATAGGGCGCCAACTTCTGCATAACTTCCGGATAACTTCTGCATAGCTATGGCGTCTATGCAGTGCCCCTCCCGGACAATTCTGCATATATGCGGAAGTTGGAAGACTACTTTAAAGGCAAACTTCTGCGTAACTTCTGCATAGCTATGGCATCTATGCAGTTTCCCCGTGGCGCCTATGCAGAAGTTATGCAGAAGTTATGCGGAAGTTATGCAGAAGTTTGCGCCCGAGCCCGCCCTAGGCCCGCACAAGCCCCCCCCCAGCCAGCCAGAGATTGACCGAAGCTCTGAAAACACCTTTTCGCGAAGCATAGGGCACCAGCTTCTGCATAACTTCTGCACGGCAACGGCGTCTATGCAGTTTTCCCGTGGCGTCTATGGGAAGTTGTATGCGTCGAGCGGGGGTGGCGGGGGTGCCTTGGAGTTTGGGGGTCTATAGGGATGTTGTGGGTCTGCGGAAGGACTTTGTGGTTTGGGGGTCGTGGTTGGGCGGGTGGGTTCCCCCAACCTCCCAACCCAACTAGATTTGCCAGACCCTTGCAAACCCTTTCTGGAAACGCGCGAAGAAACCCTTTCTGCACCCCCCCCCGGCGCTCATTATTTATACGATTTGTTTGCTGAAGAAAAAAATAGGGATGACAATCATAATAGTACTGGCTGCTGTCCTATGCTCTTATGTGTATCGTAAGACACAACAAACTCTCGCGCAGCCCTACCTTAAAACAAACATCAATGATAATAGTGATCCCCAAGTAATCCACCCCTGCCGCCAACAAATCGAAATATAGTTTTATAATGATATCACCGGTGCTCCCCATTTTGAAATGTCAGAGAATTTTACTGACACAGTATGATTATGCCGTTACGCCAGATTCTCAGGCAAGCACAAGCACAAGAACCCACTCAGTGCACTTGGGCTCTTTGCTATAAATATAGATAGTGTGGACCCTTTCCTATAGAAACCCCAGCTATGAATGGCGTGGATTTGTGGCCCATTTCCTAGAAATCCAAGCTGGGCGTTGTTTACTGGATTTTTTGCTCTTGTTCTCCTAGCTATTATCATGAACTTGGTGAATCCCTTCCTGGATATGGTGTACCCTTGGATATTGTGGACCCTTCCCGATGAATGCTAGCTATTACCCTGGAACTGTGCCCCGTTTCCTAGAAATCCTAGCCATCATAATGGCCTTGGTGGCCTTGCTCCCGGAGGTCGGAGCCATTATTGCGTCTTTGGTGGCCCTGTCACTTGAACTCCTAGAGCTTGTTATGGATTGCATGCGTCCTTTCCTAGAAGTCCTGGCTGTGATTATGGACTCAGTGGATCCTCTCCTATATATTATATATTGTGGACTTGTTCCGGGAAATCCTAGTCATTATCATGGTTTCGTGGGCCGTTCTCAGAATTCCTAGCTATCATTATAGATGTGGTGATCCCATTCCCGGAAATCCTCGCTATTACCATGAATTAGGTGGCTCGTTACTAGAAATCCTAGCCATTGTTATTGGATCGTGTGCGATGTTCCTAGAAATCCCAACTATTGTTAAGTATGTTGTGGCCCCCGGTAATAGAAATCATAGCTACTGTCATGGACTTGGCAGATCCTTTCCCAGAAATCCTCGTAGTTACTCATGTGCCCTTCACTTGGATATCCTATTTGAATGGGACTGATTCTTCGTCAATGTCAAGGTAAGCAAGAACCAAAAGCAGCGCTTGTAATACTTGGGTGTGACTACTATTAATTATCCAGCTTCAAAAAGTAAACAAAAGGCAAAAGCTCGCGGATGATACTAGACTTTTCTTCTTTTCGTTGGAGCCCTCCTTGCCGGCCTCCGCCGACAGTGATAATCATGAGGTTGCCCCCCTCCCTCCACTCGGCAAACTTGGTTTGCGGAAGGTTTTGCAAGGCCGCTGGAGGCGCCCGGGGCCCCCCGCCCTCCCCCCATCACCGCCTCAACGTATATCGCTTTGCACACCTCGCATCCTTTCCCTCTTTTTTTTCTTGGTATTTCATATCAAGAAGGATACTTACGTGGAGCACTGCCACTATTATTGTTTTTGTTCTCATTCCGCACCCTCCGCCGTCCACCACCTCACTGTTTATTGCATTTCCTACCTTGCGCCCTACCCTCGTCTTTTTGTTGTTCTTAACCTTCTTATTCTTCTTCTTATATCATTGTTATTTTGCAGGCAGATACAAAGCATGATCCTCCCACCTCCCGTATAATATGTAATACCAATAACATCATACCCAGAATGGTAATGCTGTGGAAGCATGTTTCTGTATTATCAGCATTAGTATCATCAATACGCTTATCTGGCAAATAATAATGATGGCCAGCCCCCTTTCAAAACTCATAATGACAATCTATAGTATAGTATAATATAAAATACTGTATAGTATACTGAAATATTGTATAAGTTTAAAAGCAGTATTACGAGGAAAAATACTAATGGTTAATGTGAAAGTATTGAAAAGGCAGATATCAACCGTTGCGACATTTATTTCACATTCGAAAAATTGCTTATACGACTACTGCAGTGACAGCACTATCTGACATCACATACTCAAGCTTAAGCGATGTTGTCATCTCCCTCCCGAAGCATAATCCTAGCCTTCTGAATTCAGTCCACATGCGCTTTCAGTTCAACCTGTTGTAGGCTCTTCCTCCCCCCCCATCCTGCCAGACCGTCCCTGCTCAGCTTCAACTCGTGAGACACAATCCCACCCTGCCTCAACCTCCCAAGCCTTCTTTCCTAACCTGCTGCTGCGAGCGATGCGCGTGTCTAACCTGCCGAAATGGGCCAGCCTGGTTAGTGACCGTCAATTAGTGCCCTTCTATCACAATGAGAGTAAACAACGCAACAGGCCATACCAACCTTCCCCAACCACTCCCCTCCCAAATCCAAACCTTCCCAAAGCTCACCCGAATAACGATCCGTCTTCTTCGAGGTATGCAAGGCTGTATTTCAGGGCCATGTCAGTATTTAGTCAGAAATTTTCCAGCTTTGTTGTGCAGCAGCCCTCTGAAGGAATTTCAAGTTGTGAAATATTCGAAAAAGCATTTTTGAGGGCAACACTGTAGCCCGAGGTTGTCTTCAACTTGCAGGAACCGACTTTGCAGGATCATGGGTCCTACCCGTCCTGGAAATCGGGCTCGCGACAATCAATACCCCTAAATACTAGGTGCCGTAATATAATCTTAACCAAACGACGCCCATAATATAATTTGAGAACAACTCAATTGTAAGATGCTCTCCGAACGCTGTAGGACCTCCAGTCTTTGCCGCAGAGATTTCTGAGTATTGCTGTTCTGAGTGGCTTCTAGAAACGCATGTTTTCTGCACGAATGGCCAAGCCTACCTGGCAACAATCATATGCCTACCGTAGGTTGCTAGGCGATGCAACTATAGGGTATATAGAACCCAGAACCCGTTATTTAGGTAACTGGGAGCCCTAGGGCCTATGAAGGCCGTCAAGATGATCTGGGAGTGTAAGCAACGGACGCTACGAAGCCAAGCCTTCGACAATGAGCTCCAAGCCCTCAATCCTAGGGTTAGGGGTTTAGGGGTTAGGGTTTAGGGGTTTAGGGTTTAGGTTTCAGGGCTAACCATGTAATGTAGGATTGCACGCTGGGAGCACAGATCCCAAACAACTGAAAAGTTAAGATAGGGGTGCCGCCGCAGGCTTTCTCGGGTTCATGGTTTGCCTACAACCCATCACGTCACAATCCTCCATATGGGAAGAGTACTAGCACGAAAGCGGCCCAGTAGTCATACGTCCTTCGCAAAGCCTCTGCAAGCTTCTGAACAAAAAGCCCTAAAGGCTCTATACGCTAAGCCCGCGTGACAAGGTGATCTGCCTGGATGATTACCACACCAATGATCGTGCTGGCCGCAAGGCCTAACCAATTAAGATGCAAGACGTCACGAAGCTACCCACGGGCCTATGTAGTTCCTTTTCAGGTCTGTCATGTTTTTTTGGTACGGGGTTATAATATACTACCCAAACGGCAACCACGTAGGAGGGTCTGGGTAGTGGGCTAAGACAAGGCATGCAAGCATCCTAGACGAAAAGCCCTACCGAACCCCACAAGGTACTACCTAAATGGGTCCAAACAGAACGGAGCGCAATACAGTGTTTAGGCCTGGATACCATTTTGGGTTGCGTCACCCGCTTCCTTAATTGGTTGCCCTAAATGAGCTGCGAAACCCTAAACCTTATATACCCAAATAAAGGTGTTGGAGATTGTCATCATGTAATGCACAGACCTAGAGGATGCGAGAGTGCTCCACCTAATTCTGCCCCAAAACCTCTTATTCTAGTCCTAAACCCTACTCCCTAAACCCTATGTAAATTCGGGCCCCGCGCATGCTCAGCCTTTGACCCTAAACAATCTTTCAATGTTTTCAGGCCCTATAGACCCTAAGTCCGTTATGTCGACCCCATGGGCACTCCGAAACCGCAAGCCCCAAAGTAGACACCGATATGTTGTTTTTTTGTATATCTTTTTTTTTTCTTGGGTGGTAGGGGGGAGGGGAAACGTAAAAAATGTTTTTCATGACTTTCTAGGGACTATATAGGGATGAAGGGTATATGAATATGAAGATGGAAAAGCTCCAGACTCTAGATCCTAAACCCTAGTCCCTAAAGCCTACACCCTAAATCCTAACCCTGAATCCTAATCCTAAACCCTATACCTAGTAACATGTAACAGGCCACGGGACTCACCGCCCTGGATGCGCGCGAGCCGCTTGCTGGGAACAACGACATCATGTCTCATGAAATTTGGGTCGTATAGGGGGGTAGGAGCTATTAAGGGGGATGCTGCTAGTTTAGACTATAGCTCAAAATGCTAGCATTAATAATCGTAATATCAGTGCATTGTAGAAGTAGCAGCGCTGATATTGGTGGTAGTGGTAGTTATGGTAGTGGTAGTAGTAGTAGGGCCTTATCGCGTACTTGACGGTGGTGTTTTTGCTAATCGGTTGTTCAAAATCACTGG